TGTTGATTTACCTACTTATCTCTCTCTGAAAGGGCTCTCGGAGCTCTTTCGAGTGTATACATTTCTGTGGGTGGGGTTAGCATTTGGTAACTTGGGTTGCAGTCTTAAAAACAACAAAATGGCCATGAGATAAGGGGTATTTGACTTAATAATTCAAGGTCCAGCTTTAGCTTTAGATAAACAGGCATGCTTGTAGGGCAAGCAAGGATAAAAGAACAATGGTATTTTGCTTTTTGAGGGCCATTGTTTTATTTATTAATTCCTGTTGCTAGTAGGAAGTAAGATTGGCAGGGTCGCAGGGGGCTGCCTTGGGCAGTGTAGGAATCTGCTGTACATTATACAGAACAAAGTTTCAGCCACTGTTCTGGAGCTATAAGATACAGGGATACAATAATAAAGCTATGTCGTTCATAGGCTCCTGCCTATCAGAATGGTGCTATTACTCCATTAGCAAAGGTTATTTTATTTTTCTCTGTGGCCTACTAAAATCAGGATCTGTTGTCCAGATCTTTAATTAGAAGATATTCAAAAGGGAAAAGGGTTTTGTCTCAGTTATTGAGATTTATTATGAACATGTGAGTGGTTAATGAGGTTTTAGAATTGTTTTTAGCAACTGCGGGGCGGGGTGTGTGTGCTAGAATACCGTTTTCTGATAAAACATCCTTCAACGTGAAATTTCAGTTCTGCATGTATGTATGCGACAGGTAGGAATGCAAGGAAGATACGTGCTCTATTTTACTTTGGTTTGTACTGTTGTATGTCCATGGAGATTTATACCCATCTGAGCAAAAGCATGTACAGAGTAGCATACGGTCTGAAGAAGCACGTAGTGTGTGAGGACATGCAATAGTTTTCACAAGTGGTGTCTGATTTTTCTGGCATTAAATATATGGCCACATTGCAAAACTTAAACATAAAAAGGTAAAGGTAAAGGGACCTCTTACAGTTAAGTCCAGTTGCAGACAACTCTAGGGTTGCGGCGCTCATCTTGCTTTACAGGCCGAGGGAGCCGGCGTTTGTTTTTCTGGGCCATGTGGCCAGCATGACTAAGCCGCTTCTGGCACAACGGAACACTGAAACCAGAGCAGCACACAGAAACGCCGTTTACCTTCCCGCCGGAGCAGTACCTATTTATCTACTTGCACTTTTTGGCGTGCTTTCAAACTGCTAAGTTGGCAGGAGCCAGGACCGAGCAATGGGAGCTCACCCCGTCGCATATCTCTCATTAAAATAAATAGAAACTTACAATCTCAACCATGAGTACTCAAAAGTAAGTCCCACTGAATTAAATGGGGCTTACTCCCAGGTAAACAGGCTTAGTTAGGATTGCAGCCTGATTTTAGGCATTTTGCTCAAAAGCTAGTCCCACTATGTTCTATTTGAATTTACTCCAAGTAAATTATGTATGGAATTAAATTACATTACAGTCGAAAGTGCTTTATCATTGGCTAGATCCTGCCCATACTGAACGAACACTTTCCATAAAATTCAACGAGGGCTGTGCTCACACTCCCATTTGCTGTGCACTCATTGAATTAACAGCGCCGGGTTTAATCCATGTTTACACAAGGTTATCCGAAATGCATATATATCCTGTACTTTGCTATGCAATTCTACTTTTTCAATGTGTTGATTCTCAAACCAGCTTCTTAAGGACCGCAGTCCTTAAGCTGTTCCTAATTTGTCTCCATCCAAAGCGTGGAACACTTTTGCATAAGGTAAAGATGCCCCTGTTTGGTCAACTTGCCCTGGTGTGTACACAAACAGAAATGAATCTGATACTAATGAAGCAGTGCTGATGTGAACAATTGAGAAATGCACCCTGAAAAAACAAAACTGTGCTCTAAAATACCCCAAGATGCCTATGTGTGAATAAAAGGCCTGGACCTTGGTTTCTGATGGCCTTAGACCAGAGACACTTGGTAGATCCCACCCAAATTCAGGACTGAATGCGAAGGGTACGACATCATCATCGCGTCACTTTTCTTACAAGGGAAGCTCAAAGCAATTTACATTTAAACCTGTTAGAAATTACAACTAAATCCTAAAAACCCAGCAATTCAAATGAAAGACTAAAAATGCAGTTAAACAAAAAGGCAAGGTAAGTCCTGCAGCACTGAAAGAGGCCTTCAAATTTAGGACTCGTAATTGAAACATTAGTTTTGTAGTGCAAGTTGGGGGAAATCTGGGCTAGTGAAATGCATGATGAATTCATCCTGATTGCTTTAGCCTCTGAATGGAAAGAAATGTTAATGTGCAGATTAGGCTGTTAGATCCTTTTCTGGATCAGCAGTTGACTCAAGGAGGGGAGAGTCTGGGAGAGATGGGGAAAGGCTTGCTTGATTAAAATGCGCATGGGAGGTAAGATGGAGGAAGATCTCAACCTCACCTTAGATGGCTTGGATGGTGATTCTGAACAGCCATGGAAAGGCTGTTGAGAAAAATACTTCCATAAAAAATCCAGAGCCTAAGTGTCTGCTGAACAGGGGTGTTTTGATGCTCATAGACTGACCCTGCAGCTTGTTGCGGAACCCAATTGTTGTAGAATTGCAACACTTTAAGATATTGCACAAGTCATAATTGAGCAGGCACGGAATACTGTGGGAGGGGAAAAGGGATAAGAAGTGCCTACACAACTTGTAATCCTTTCTATCCATGTCAACAAGGCCAGGGCTGAAACTGACAAATAGCTGTAGCCCCATGGAGCATGCCACACACTTGTTAAACAGACCACATCCTCAGGCAGGGGCTTGGCTCACTCCACAGTAAGGCACCTTGCCAGGTGACCCGTGACCAATTTCAGGATACTTATTAAAGGGCAGCAAATTGTCAACCTGTACACTAATACCAATTTGAGGCTTCCTGTGCTTATGTAACTAAACCCACAGCAGCAATGGACGAGAGAGTAGTGGCAGAACTTGGGAGTAAGTAACCCCAAGTATGCACAAGTTAAGGGAAGAAAGATGGGGACGGACGGACCCAGTAAACAGCCTGACAGTAACTCTGTGGCACAAAAGACAGAGAGAAGGGCATGGGGAGTGAGGAACCTGATAATTGAGTGGGAAGGGAGAGTAGAATGGAGTGGCCGGAACAAAGTAAGAGTTATGTCTCTGTCCTTAAAAAAGGGGAAAAGAGCTATTTCATTGTATGTACCCAGGGACAGAAGACAGCTGTATCATCAGTGGAATAATCCAAGATGTTAATGTAACTGGGAATGATCACAGCTGTCCACTCCACCTTCCAAAACCGAAAAAAGGGAGAAACCTCCAAATGGTGTCATGAGGACAACATGCTCTTGTAGGTACAGAAAGCTGAGTGTTGGGCGGGGAGGACGGGACCAGGCAGAGCAGGCATAGGGCGGAATGGAGTGGTTAGAATCCTAACAGAAGCATCCCACACTGGAACATTTCGTTGCAAGGTCATACTTGTTTTGTCTATTGTTTTTCCTACCACGGTGGGCATTGCTTAAATTTTCTGTTTCACATGCTGATATATCTTGGGCCATCGCCGCTTAATTGGTTGGGCTGGCCGCGTCAGATGTTCTAACCTTCAATACATACACAGATATACAATACAGTGGTACCTCTGGTTGCGAACGGCATCCATTCTGGAGGCCCGTTCGCAACATGAAAAGAATGCAACCCGCATCTGCACACGCGCGGGTCACGATTCGCTGCTTGTGCGCATGCGTGTGACGTCATTTTGCGCATCTGCGCATGCGCGAGCGGCGAAACCCAGAAGTAACCCTTTCTGGTACTTCCAGGTCGCAACCTGAAAAAACTATCATGAAGCAAACGTAACATGAGGTATGACTGTATCTGGTTCCTGTATGTGCTTACTTGGGAGCAAGGCTCACTGAACTCAGTGAGACCTTCATTGGGCGTAAACATGCCCAGGATGGAGTATTTTGCTAAAGTTTCAGCACTGGTGTGTGTGGTGTGTCCTTTGTTCTCCTCCATGGTGTATTTTGGGGAGTTTCAGCTTTCCTGATCCATTTACATTGTGGGAAACAGGTACTTTTATAGTCCATAAAATACATTTTTTTGAGGATGGAAATTAATCCTTGGGTTGAGGAGTGAAATAGCCTTCAAGAATCACAACTGTTTCTGCTGCATTCTTTAGCTGGGCTTTTAAAGCGAGAGTTTGAGGAGACAATATATAAATAAAAGACACTGCGAGCCTATCCATGTCTACTTGGAAGTATATCCAATGGAACTTACTCCCAGGAAAGTGGTTATAGGATCGCAGCCTGAAACACTTAAAGATTAACTGTTTACAGTGAGTTGGCAACAGAATGCTTACAGACATTTCAGGCCTTTCCCCCCTTCTGTTTACAGCTCTCTCACTTGCTTATAAATACATAAAATCTGCCATCTGAGAACCCTCATCTGATGAAGACACTATCCCATGAAGGCTTCTGCACAATGACAGTGCAATCTCCACAAGCTTACTCAGAAGTCAATCTCCATTTTCAGTGGGGCTTACTCTCAGATCAGCATGCATAGGATTGCAGCCTCAAAACTTGCGAAGGTTTTGTTGGCTACCAGTCAAGACGCCTCTACACTTGTGAGTCGGAGAGGGCTGTTGCAGGTTTCCCAAAGGGCAGCCTCTGGCTGGCTGCTGTGGGACTAAAGTAGATAGGCCTTTGGGCTGCTCCAGCACCGCTCCTCTTAACGTGACCCAAGAGAGACACAAACACCCTCTCTTCACTGTGGTCTTCTCACCAAGTTGAAGCCGACTTTGAAACTTGCTGTCTGCTGTCTTTTTGCTGAAGGGTTTCGAAATGCAAAACTATTGACCGGTTTGCTGTTCGAGAGGGGTGAAGCTCGCGTGTGTGTGTGCGCGCGCGCGCGCATACACACAAACCACACACCCAGGCGCGCTCTCTCTCTCCTTTCCCATAAGTGACTTTCAAGCTCATCCACATACCACGTAGGCTGGTGGGAAGCAGGGCGGAGGGGAGACGGAAAAGCCAGTCGGAAGAAGCGAAGGAGGTGGGTTCGTGCAACGTTTCGGACTCTCCAAGTGGTGGAGAGGAGAGCCGGGGGAAGCAGGCCAAAAGAGGCGGCGGCGGCGGCAGGCAGAAGCAGCCTGAGAATTTCCTGTGAGGGGATCACAGGCCTCAGTCGGGGCAGGCGAGGAGGAGGAGGAGCAGGGCATGGAGCGCCCTTTGCTTTGGCGACCTCCGCCGAGGGCTGCGTGCGCCCCCGAGCTCGGCGCGCTGCCGCGGCGCTTCCTTTCCCCGCGTTTCTCCCGCCGCGCAATTGCGCTCGCGGCGCACTAAAGGCGAGGGACCTTCCTCTCTCTTCCTCTTCCCCCGGTCCTAGCCCAGCCCTCTCCTCCTTCCCGCTGTGGCGGCTAGTCTCGGCTGGCCCTGCCCACGTTTCTCTCTCTCTCTCTCCCCGCTCCCTCCCACCCGTGGTCATGTGTTGCCTTTTTTTGTTGTTTGCAGTGGAAACAATTTGGCGTTCTTCGGCTCGCTCTGACCCAAACCGCTACTCCAACCGGGAGTAGTGTAGACAGGCGGGCAGACAGAAAGGCAGGCAGGGAGGGGGGAGAGGTAGGTAGGTAGGAGGGCGAAGCGAAGAGGGGGGGGAATTGCAGCAGGGTCCCATGCTCCCCCCTCCCCACGGCTCCTGGCTCCCCTTCTCTCTCTCTCTCCCCCACTCGCTCCCTTCGGCCACATTGTTGGCTCCAGGCTGGGGGAGGAAGCGATGCCTCGCTCAGTCGGATGAAAAGTTTGCATAATGACCATGGAAAAGGCAGCAGTAAAAATCTAGAGCTCTTCCAAGCCCCAGGTAAGTTTGGGGATTTATCTATATTTTTTATTATTTTATAATATATATATATATATATTTGTGCGTGCTTGCTGCTGCTGCTTGTTTTTGTGTGTCTTGCTCTGTGTGTGGATTTTTGTTTTTTGAAAATTCATGGTTCCCTTGTTGGGAAGATTGCGTAAGATTCTCTGCAATGAAATCGGCAAGAAGAAGCAGCCGGAGTGGGTTGGGGGGGTGGGGAGAAGGGAGAGACACGCACGCATGATAAGGTGGGTCAGCCCCACAAGAAGGCAGCCAGTTAGTTCGGGATGTCTGAAAAAGCAGCGTGCTGGTCGTCTTAATTTCGACTCCCCCTCCACCCCGAAACTCCCGTGTGTGTTGGGCGAAGGAAAGCAGGAAGCGGATCGAGCTGAGAGTTGCAGCCACGACCCGAATATGTAATGTTGCTGCTGGAGCTGCCTGCTTTCCGAAGACTGTTGGCGAATAGAGTTGGCATTGTATGGAAAGTTAGGAAGGGAGGGGGGAAATTGTGCCCAGTCGAGGAATGCTCCAACCTTTAAAAGCATTTGTGTGCTATTTTTGCCCATTGGCTTGAGAGTGGTTTATCCCTCTGTAGTGCATTTATTACCAAACTCTTTTTTAAGGCGGGGGTGGGGAGTGTTGTTCTTTATTTATCTTGTTTTAAAATCCTCTCGTTATTCTCCAGTGGAGGAAGCCAGTCTTCATATTATTCTTTTAATCTTTCATATATATATATATATATATATATATATATATAAGTCCATTTAGTTCCTGAAGTTAGTTCATAAGTTTGTTTTGAGGAATTTTTTTTTTGCATTTATTATGGTGTAATGGGGGGCAGTACAAGGTTTATGACATCTGAACAGCATTGAAGGTATGTTTGCTGCAAATGGCACTTTATAGGAGCAGTTTTGCAGTCTCCTAGCAACGCCATTGATTGATTCGAATCCCGGCCAATCCGCGAGCTCCTTCTCCCCTTCAAATGTTTTTGACAAGTACAGTAGGGAGTGTAGCAAAGTGCAGCGAGAAAAACTGTCCCTGGCTGGTTGTCCTTTTAGTCCCTTCAAAATGACGACCCCGTTGTATGTTTTTAAAAGAGACACATCTGTCTGAGCCTGGCCTGTAATGTATATATCAGTCCTGAGAAGCACTAATAGTGATCTGGCTTGATTCCCGCACTCCCAGCTTCTTGTCTGATTCTGCCATGTCAGTTTTACAACCGAGAATGCGAGAGATATTGTGCCTTTCTTCTACAACAATGAAGTTTGCTTTTAGACTTGCCCCTAAGCACTGCAGCTGTGGACATATCTGATGGAGCTACTTAACTGGCAGCAGATTAAAAAATGTTTGCTTAACTGCAGCACCTCCTCTGATTCGTGTGAAGTATGAAGTGCAGGAGAGAGCTGGAGTCTGACGCTGGAAAGATTGGCTGGGGTTGGGAAACATCTTTTTTTTTAATGTGTTTCTGAGTCCCCCTCCACACACACTTAAATCCAGGGCTAGGATTTCTGTCCTCTAACGTAACGGCTACGTGATTGTCTGTCCTCGCACGGTACTGGGAACTTTTCCATGTCCTCCGTATGGAATTGTGACGCGAGGCTCCTGGATTTCAAGGTGAAGGGGAAAAAGAAGAAGTTTTGATTCCCTCCTGGAAATGGTTGTCCTCCTTTATATTAAAAACAGAACCCTGCACGTCCTTTGCAGCGTTTGCAAAACGGCGACATGTTTCGAATGTTTACAGCGGAGTTAAAACATGTAGAACCAGCTGACTAAAGCAAGGTTGTTGCTGTTGAAATGTGTATGGCCTAATGCAGCTTCAGGTTTGTTTTGTTCAAATGTGACGTTTCCCAGTAGCATATTCATTGTTTTAACAAACTGTTATTAGTAGAAACTCCAAGGCATTTACAATGTGATCCTAAATTGAGTTCAGTTGCATTCACTCCTAGCATGCATTGCTTTGGGTTGCTGCCCCAATATCACATGCTTTAAAGTGGCAGATGTGGTGAAGTTCCCTCCGCTGTGTCTGCTATACTAAAGATAAGTGATTTGAGGATTGCAGCTTTAACTAACTTTGGTCAGGCTCGCACGCCACCGTGCAATTAAGCTTGATGCTTGAGAGCTGCAGAATTTGGAGCCCCTGTACCCGTCTCTTAAAGATATGTCACTAGTTTTTGTGTGAAAATTGGTGGTATGATATGGCCCTTTGGGAGAACGCGGGCAAGTAAGCAAATTAAACTGAAAGAGAGCAGCATGTCGTCATAGCAACAGTGCAATTAAATTATGTTGTCAGCCATGATATAATTTTCCTATTTAAAAGCTTGCTCATGGGACATGCGTTCTGTTTGTACTGAACTCATTTGGCTACACTACTCCCAATTGGAAGTGGTGAATGGGGAGGAGGGTATAAATGATGTTTTAGGGACCCACACAAAGTGTGGTATAATTTAGGGCTTATTTTTCTATGCATCCCTCTCCCACCCCCCTCGATACTTGAGTGCTTCGATTCATTTAAAGGGAAACATTTTCTGAAATAACTTCCCATTAAATGGTAAGTACAAATGAGAAGTTTAAATATTACTAGAGCAACAGGAATATGGAAGTGATTTCCGGGGCATAAAAATCTTTTCCACCACATCGGGAGGGGAACTGGGGTATGCAATTTCCAACTTTTTTCATTTTTAAACTACTTTTAAAAAACCTAATAAGTTACACTTTTGTTTTCATTTGCTGAGCTTGGCTTTACAGAGTTTGATATGAAATAACTTGTCCCCCTAAGATTTTTAATTTTCATCTACGTCATTGTCCAATTTTATCCATTCTTTATTGCATGGTAATCTTTCTCGGCCCTCCCCATCTCTAATTACCTCTTATGTAATTATAACATTCCCTTGTTTTAAAGCATCTCTTTGACAGCATCAAAACACAATCGAAAAGTATTGTGTTGGGTGGACTATTCTCTGAAAAGTGTAAAGCAGTGTTTTTAAATTAGAGGTTCTGCTAAACACTTGTTTGTCTCTTTTTTTAAAGAGCCAAGTTTCACTTCTCAGATGCTTTTTCTTTTAAAGCAGAAAGCCTTCCTCTTAGAGTATATGTTTGCTGACCTGTATAAAATTTGTATACCACACTTCCTGTTAAAAACTTTATGCAGTGTACGTAGCATGATGTATTTCATGAGAACAATTGCAGTTGGTGCTAGAGTAGGCAGACTTTCAATGTGCTTCATCATACTACTTTTGCAACCATACAAAAGTTTTTGTGCTCTTAAATGAATAAAGAATAGAACAGGTACCAACTCCTTTCTTAAATAATCAAATGGTTTGCCTTAGGCCTTTGGGAGAAGTGTAGCCTGTTGTGGATCATATTGGTTCTGATGGTAGAAAGATGGCCTAGAGAGCTACAGTCCTAACCCCACTTGCCTGGGAGTAAGCCCCCTTGAGTTCATTAGGACTTACTTCTGGGTTGATATGCTTTGGATTGTAAGGTGGATGCTTAATCTTGAGCGCAGAAGTCAGACTTGATGCTTATAGGTGTATTTGGAAGTTGACTTTTGGGAAAGAAAGAACTATGAAGATTGAGTATGGTTGTTTTTGTGTCCAAGCTTCTTTGTATATGTGTTGCAGCTTGCTTCATTTAATACCCTGGTTTGAGATAATTAAAATGCACTAAAGCCTTGTCTATTTTTGCTTATTATTATTCTCTGGGCTCAGTATAGCAACTCTACTGATTGGTGTATGATGTCATTCTTCATGCTTTCTTCTAAGTCATGCTTATCATATCCATCGCTCACTCTTGTTTCATTTAAATTTGTTTCACTGGGGTGGAATCTCCTTTTGTATCTCCTTCTCCCCCTCCCTTTGATCCCTGGAGCTTGACCCATGCTGCAGAATCCTTCTGCCCTGCTGTTTTGGAGGCAAAAAGTTGGTAGCTGCAGAGAATGAGCACTTGGCTGTAAGTGTGTGTGTGTGTGTAAACATGGAGTTTTGCCTGCTTGCGCACTGAGCCAGAGAGGCTATAATTATAATGTGGCAGTGTTCGTACTGGAAGTGAAACAGCTGAACTTAATCTGAAGCAACTGGTCTTAAGCTCTCAATTTTTTGTGCTTATTACAAGCAGTAGGAGTGACATGACCAGCAATATTTGCAGTCCTCCAAGCCTAGGCATGCTTGCTCAGAAGTAAGTCCCACTGATTCCAATAGCGTGTACTCCTCAGGTAAGTGTAATGTAGGATTGCAGCCTTAAGAAGGACCCCTAGAATATATGAGTACCTTTCTCTCCACTTTAGAGCTTTGCAAGAAGGCAAAAATGAAGCATCTTCATTTGTATGCCAGTGATTGAAATCTCATTTCTGCCCTTGCCTCTGAATCTTCCTGCTTAACAAGCCTGTGTGTTAATGTTATGTGAGTCTGTCTTCTTGTTTTCTTAAAAAAGTAGGATTCATAAAAGGCCAAATTGTAGACTGGGGAAAAGCTACCAGTATGTTGTGATGCTGTCTATACCTTTACCAGCTAACACTCTTTTTAAAAATTTGGATTTATTACCAGGAGTCTCCGTCTAAATGGGTCCAGTTATGCCTCCCAGTAAGAAGCCAGAAAGCTCGGGAATTAGTGTTTCCAGTGGATTGAGCCAGTGTTACCGGGATAGAGACTTAGCAAAGACGCTTCACGACGATGAGGACTTAGACTTTCCTTTACCTGCCCTCCGGTTGGAAAAAGGTCCCATGGAGGATGAAGAGCTCACCAACTTGAACTGGTTACACGAGAGCAAAAACTTGCTGAAAAGTTTCGGGGACTCAGTCTTAAGAAGTGTTAGCCCAGTACAAGACCTTGATGACGACACCCCTCCATCACCTGCTCACGCTGACATGCCCTACGATGCCAAGCAAAACCCCAACTGCAAACCGCCCTACTCCTTTAGCTGCCTCATATTTATGGCCATTGAGGATTCTCCAACCAAACGGCTGCCTGTAAAGGATATATACAACTGGATTTTGGAACACTTTCCTTATTTTGCAAATGCCCCCACTGGATGGAAAAACTCTGTGAGGCATAATCTGTCGTTGAATAAGTGTTTTAAGAAGGTGGACAAAGACAGAAGTCAGGTGAGGCTGGAGTGATACTACTCCGTGTAACCCATTTGATCTGCTGATGGCGATTTCCTATTGTTTATATTCTGCCTTTTGTTCCTTCTCTCTTATCCGTAAGAAATAGCTTCCAGTGATTCTTAAGAGGATCTTTGTTCATAAATCTAGTCATATTCTCAGTGTATTTCCCGCCCCCGCCTAGTTGCTCTCACTCTTCCCATCTCACTCTTCAACTACTGGGTCCTGCTCAGGACAAACTTCTTAAAACTTATAGTTAACAGAATATAGGGCAGGCTTTTGGGATGCAAATCCTTCCAGGATGCTTTGCAAGCCAGCAGTAAAATGCATTTTTAAAAGTCATTGGGGTTATACCCCCAGGGCAGCTGGTGTAAGTTCCTTGGGGGGGGGAGGCAGAGAGTCCAGCTGGAACAGGAGTTGATGGCCCTTGGAGAGAGCGACCCCCTGACCCTCCTGAAGTGACTAAAACCATACAGAACATGCCTTCTTTAGATTTGGAGATGATGCGCTGGCTGGGGCTGATGGGAGTTGTAGTCCAAAATATCTGGAGGGAGTCAGTTTGGGAAAAGACTGGTCTAGAGCAAGTTGTATCAATCAATCTGAGTTGAGAGCTTGACTTCCATCTACTCAGAAGTAAACCTTATTGAGTTCAGTGGGACTTTATTCTAGGTGAATTGGTATAGGATTGCTGCCTAAGTGTAGCATTCAAGTTTGTGATTTTTTTTTTTGAGGATCTGACAGCTGAATGACTTAAAGAGCCATTAAGATGGGACTGAATCCTTGACAATTCATAAACTTCCTAGCTCACTCACTGCCTGCATTTGCACATCATTTGCACGTGGTTCAGTGCAATGTACACAAGCCAAAGTCAGTCCTGTGACTGCACAATGTTCTCTCTTTCTCATGTGGCCAGGAGGTTGATACCAGACAGTTTCACCCTCAGCTCCAGTAAACCACAGTCTGCCCACTTGTCTGGACCTGGAATTGCAACTCATGCTAACTGTGATCAGGCCAAACAAGACAGTTTCAGAAACCATGGTTTGCACAAGACTTTGTGTTCACCACATCTTCTCGCATCAGACAACACAGCAAACTGCTGTCAAGCAGAAAGCAAAAGCCTCCTCCCATCCATGTTTAAAATGCAACAAACAGTCCTGTGTCTATTCTTCCCATCCTCCCATTTTTAGTTCATTGCATTCCAAGAGCCAGTATTTGCTCTTGAATGGTTCATTTTTAACAGCATTCAAATCTTTGTCTAGACAGCTGTAAGAAAGTGCTGTTTGTATAAATGCATGTTGTACATGGCTTTGAGAAAAAACCTCCCATCTTGTCTCTCCATGAATAACATGAAATATTGTGCTTGGGTGATGATTTCCTGCTATACTATAATCCTAGAAGTGTAGAATTGGAAGGGACCCCAAGGCTCATTTAGTTTAACCTCCTTCAGTGCAGGAATGTGGTTCCCATCCAATTTGAAACCATACTTGACCAGACACTGCTTAGCTATGCAAATGTGCCAGCAGTTTTATTGCTGCACCGCTAGGAGTACTCGATGCATGTAAACCGCAGAGGTTGGGTTGAACATTGTTCTTCACTTAGTTACTTCTATAAACATTTTTTTGAGGGGGCGAATCTTTCCTAGACAGGTTGCATCTCTGATAATTGGAGTAAACCTTGAAAATATTTGCAGTTCCTTCCTTGTTCCTAGAATCAAATGTAAAGGTTCCTGGGTGACCTTGCATCCACTTTTGTTCTTGTTATGAACTGTTGGGTTACTATGCGTGTTGCCTTCTGTTACATGGGGCTTTTAGTGGTGCTTAGGCTCAGGAGAGATGAAGCTACAAATACTCTTGTACGTACATCCACACAGACCAGTGTGTCTGGGGGAAAATTTCGATTGCAGAATAAAGGCTTGGCCTGTTCTTTTCTGTGCTTGAGTTGAGACATGAGGTGGGATGAGGTGAAGTTCTGGTATCTTCAAGGAGAAAGTATTTCACATACTCAACTTCTTTGCTAGCGATATTGCAGGGAGCTTGAGCTGTGTGCTTGCTTGGGATCAAATATCCCTTTGCTTTACTTAGGAATCTGCCTTGTGCTAGGTCAGACGATTTGTCCATCAGCCTCAGGTAGCATGGCCAAGGATGAAGGCAGCACCTCTCCAGAATCTCAGGAAGAGGTCTTCTTTCATAACTTGCTACCTGAGCCTTTTAACTGGAGATGCCAGGAATTGAATGTTGGACTTTCTGCATGAGCAACATGCACTCTGCCATAGGGCCCTGGCCCGTCCCTATAGTTTTAGCAGCTGAGCTATATCGTATGACTAAAGACCTTTCTTTGGACCATTGAAATGACCTGGTAACGTCTTGTGGCTTCTTCTGAGACTCTTATATTTAAGTACAAAAAAATAAAAATCACTATCCCAAGAATTCCAGAATGCTGTCTCTAATCAGGTTGGATGATGCTTAGTTTGCCTTCTTTTGGCAACTCCTGCAGTCAAGCTGGTGCCAAATGGGTTGCTCTGCTTTCCTTTGGACCACATCAGTGAGGCCAAGAAGGGGATCTTGTAATCTGGGCAACCCCGGACCTCCATGCACACTGCCCAGGCTTTCACCCTGGGGAGATCACTTCAGTGCTGCTGACGCAGCAGTTTGATTTCACCCCCAGAATTGCTTTCCATTGTCTCTCGAGACAGACAGGTCCCAACAACAAAATCCTATGAGCACATTACTGTTGCGTGGCTCTTTCCTTTGTATAATTTGAAAGGTGAAGGGGTTGAGGTAGCTTGCTTGCAGAATGCTAGTTGCTTATGTAGCTGTGTTAGAAGCATGTCCTCATTTCAGTAGGCGGACGCATCTTGCAAACAGCTGCTGAGGCAAGATTTGCCTGTGTGCAGTAAGGAGGCTTCATTTAAATCAAAGCTGATGAAATTGAGGAACTTTATTTGTTACGTAAGCAAAGTAAGTGGCAGGTAAGAGTATGGTTATTCGGACTCTCCTGGTGACTAAATGGTCAAGAACACTCTCAAAAGAATAATAATAATAATAATAAATTCTTTAATTATTTGGCCAGGCGTAAACTTTCCCATCCTGTTTCTTCAAAATGCTAGAAAGTAGAAATGGCATAGTGGGCATTGGGTATGGTTCCACACCCTCCCCCAATTGCCAAAAGAGAGAAATGGTACCAACTATCTCTGCAGGCCTGAAGTGATTGTTGTACCTTGGGTTACAGACGCTTCAGGTTACAGACTCCGCTAACCCAGAAATAGTACCTCTGGTTAAGAACTTTGCTTCAGGATGAGAACAGAAATCGCATGGCAGTGGCCCGGCAGCAGCGGTAGGCTCCATTAGCTAAAGTGGTGCTTCAGGTTAAGAACAGTTTCAGGTTAAGAACGGACCTCCGGAACGAATTAAGTACGTAACCAGCGGTACCACTGTATTACTTCAGTTTCTGTTATTTGGTGTTGGTGAAGGTGCTACTGTTCAGCATTCCAGTCAACTGGCCCATGTATGTGTGCCAGGAAAAATGAGTGGTGTAAGTACGAATCCTGGTTTTGTGGCAGGGGTCATTGATGTATTGCCCTCCAGATACTTTGGATTACAACTCTCATCATCCCTAGCTATTAGCCAAGATAGCGCAGAACGATGGAGAGCTGTAGCCTGCAAAATCTGGCAGGTACCACATCGGCTAGTCCTGATTTTTGCTTGAATGTTAAAGCATGCAACGGAGATGTGTTCTTTGAACCTTCAGTTCAGAGGATAGTCCCAGAAAACCTTGATCATAAATGGTATGTGTTGTTTAGCTATGGAAGGACAGAAGGAAGTTGAACTCTGCAGTGGTCTCTTCTCTTCTACACCTCCCTTGGCACCAAGCATCCACAGATCATTCTTTTGCTCATCAGAACATGAGAAGAGCCTGCTGGATCAGGCCAATGGCCCATCTAGTTCAGTATCCTGTTCTCAAAGCGGCCGAACAGATGCCTGTGGGAAACCTGCAATCAAGCTTCCAGTACAGAAGTACTCTCCCGTCCAGGGGTTCCCAGCATCTAGTATTCAGAAGCATAACTGCCTCCAGCTGTAGAGGCAGAGCATAGTCCTTGAGGCTAGGAGCAGCCATCAGTAGCCATCTCCTCCATGAATTTGTCTAATCCTCTTTTAAAGTATTCTAGATTGGTGGCCGGGACGCGGGTGGCGCTGTGGGTAAAACCTCAGTGCCTAGGACTTGCCGATCGTATGGTTGGCGGTTCGAATCCCCATGGCGGGGTGAGCTCCCGTCGTTCGGTCCCAGCTCCTGCCCGCCTAGCAGTTCGAAAGCACCCCTAAAAAGTGCAAGTAGATAAATAGGTACCGCTTTATAGCGGGAAGGTAAACGGCGTTTCTGTGCGCTGCGCTGGTGCTGGCTCGCCAGAGCAGCTTCGTCACGCTGGCCACGTGACCCGGAAGTGTCTGCGGACAGCGCTGGCTCCCGGCCTCTTAAGCGAGATGAGCACGCAACCCCAGAGTCGGACACGACTGGCCCGTACGGGCAGGGGTACCTTTACCTTTACCTTTAGATTGGTGGCCATCACTGCTTCTCCTGGGAGCGAGTTCTATAATTTAACTGTGTGAAGAAGTCCTTTCTTTTATTTGTCCCAAATCTTCCAGCATTCATCTTCATTGGATGTCCACTAATTCTAGGGTTATGAGAGAGGGAGACAAACTTCTCTCTACCCGCTTTCTCCATGCCACCAACTTTTATCGTGTCACCTCTTACTTGCCTTTCCCCTAAACTAAAAGTCCCAGATACTACAACCTTCTTTTATTTAACATTGACATCCCCCCAGCTCTTTGTAGGTGCTTGGTGAAAAGAGCTGATAAAGGTCTTTTAGGAGTTGCATCAGGATGCAGATAAGAGGGAGGGTGGGTTCTGATTGTTGTTGTTTTTTTTAAAAAAATAAGGTGATTCAATCGTGCTTTACAACATCAAGAAAAAAGATTAGCTTTAAACCAGGATCTGCATAGATA